AAAAAATAATCAACTGGTTTATGTGCCATGCATGCTTTGTAATTATTCTGACTAGAAATTAAAGCAAATCTTTCTGTGTTTCTTATTTGAGACAGGTAGTTACGAAATCATTGTCTTCAGTTCAGGCAGTCAAATTCGTAAGTGTTGACTTCCTCACTTGTACCACTTGATGGATATGTCACCCATCAAAGTCTTTGCAGGCACTTCTATAGTCTTTAGCAGTGCAAGTGGGATGCAGTGCCACCTTGGTACTATCACTAAAATTTTGTATTTTCTCACAGGCTGGTGAGCTTAACTCCTACTTATGCATTTAAGCAATAGTTTGCTATAGATCCATAGCTACAGTGTATATGAAGTATTATAAGTCTGTTTGTACTTTTAAACCTCTTCACATGGATTTACGAAAATGAGTGGGGCTGATTTTGACTGGATCAGAGCATCTCTAAAAATTCATTCAGTATGCAATATGGTTTTGTATTAATAGGTATAAGACTTACAATGCATGTCTCATTCCTTGAGTACAGAACTGAAAAATCAATATATTTCATTGGGTTGTGTAGTTTTTTATACACACACACTACTCCTTTTTACTGCAAATATTCCATGTTTCCTTTTGGACAAAACAAGATGGTTTTAGTCATTTTGAATATATTCAACTAAGAATATCTACTAGATAATATGAAAGATCATTGACTGGTTGTTTTTTGAGGTTTTGTTACCTGTGTATGTTTTAAAAGGAGTCTATGTTGTGAGATGACATTTCAAATAACTTTTCTTTTATCCAGTCATACACACATACAGCTGCTCTGTGTATATTTATTTATGAAACAATGCTTAAATGCCAGTTTAATGGTCACAAATTCATTCATGCAAGCCTGAAGGTAGGGTATGACTATTCTTGTGTTAAATGCCATCAGAAAACTATAACATTTACATTAGTAATTATTTAGCACGATAGAAATAAAGTTAAATGAACTGGAAAAGTAACAGAGGAGACTTGTCTTTTACTTATGCAGTGAATGTCGTTAATCTGACTATCATCCTGATGGCAAATTATTCTGCAGGTATTCAGCTCATATAAAATAATGACTTCAGCTGAGTTTTGTTCACTTTTACTCAAACTAAATAATCCCTTACACTGCAAGTGAGATACAGTTAAATGATACTGCTGTTGAACTCGTGCTTTTGAATGATATATCATCCTAATTTTGACATATTTGGAATGCTGACGAATTTGAAGTTTTTGAAATGTTGGGAAACATTTAAACATTGAAGGCCACTGCAAAATTTGAGCATTTCTGTGGAGAGCCTGGTGCTGCTGCAATGGTCATTTTTGTTGGTGGTGATTTAGACCTTTTCAGCTTGATTTTGTGCAGAGCATTAAATATTCTTAAGCAGAATTCTTGAGTTAAATATCTCCACTAGAAGCTTACAGTTTCAATGAGATACTCTTTATTATACGGAAAGAGAGTAAGAAAGAAGAACTTAATAGTATAAAGTTCGCAGTTTCAGTATTTGGAATTAAAAAAAAGACATATTAGCAGTTGACTGGACTCTTTGATTAAAAGAACTTGAGGCTTGTTTAAGTCTTATGACAATGAGACAAAAGAGAAGGATCACAGGATACAAAAAATACTTTAGGAACTAGTGATTTGACTAAGACTTTGTGTATATACTTTAACCTCACCTTCAGCAAGCAATACAGATCATAATTACCTTGAATGAATCAGAATAAATTATTGGCTGTGAATGACTTGTCCAGTTGTGAAGTCTTTGTTCAGAGGTTGGAGCAAAAGAAAACTGGGAAAAATAACAGCAAATAAATTGTTTTCTGAGTGTCATAGGATGCAATATAGTTCCACAATCTATACATCTGGTAACAAGATAAATGTTCCTTTTGTTAGTCATTGTTGCATATAGACACAAAATTGATAATATTGTAACTTCAAAAAAATAAGATGTTTATATTAGTTGGATGCAGTGGTTATGATTTTTCTTTCATGTTGCATTAACTATGTGATGCTGTTTCTTGCAGCTGGATGAAGAAGCCTCGATGTGGTGTGCCTGACCAAACAAGAGGTAGCTCCAAATTTAACATTCGTCGGAAACGCTACGCATTAACAGGACAGAAATGGCAACATAAACATATCACTTACAGGTAGCAAAGATATTCATATAGGTATATAAATGTCACTAGTAGTGCTGACTTTTAAAGTAAATATAAATTTCTGAAATATTTTGAGGAATTTATTAGTAAGTGATATAAAAATGCTGATTTGGATACCTCTTGGATAAGTATGTGTGTGCTACATAAGAAACAAATTATTTTCTTGGATTAAAATTGCATGCATTTAGTAACTGGAAAATTCTCTGAAGCTTTCAGCATTGATTTAACACAGTCCTAAATCTTACTTTTCAACCCTCTTGGGAACTTCTCAGGGAACATTGCTCTGAAACTAGGAGTGCTGTAATCAAACGCAGATCTCTAATTTAAGTATGTGAAACAGCTTACTGAAAGGAGTCAGTCTTTGCAAAATGTAGGTGCCTACAGGTCTGTTCTAAGTACAAATGAATTTGATTATAATTTGGTGAGTCACTGACCCAGTCATTTCCTGTCTACATGTTGATGGGCATAAGAGTATGTGCAGGGGTGTACATCTACATAACTCTTGAGCCTGGCATGTCGTTTAGGCAGTATGTTGCCTACTGTCAAAAGTGATCTTTGCAGGGAGAGTTAGATGCAAACTAGTGTAATTTAATACAGCCTGACTGAAAATTTACGCAGCCTCATTGGGATTCCTGTAATATCTAACAAGGGTAAGTTCTCAGGGATAAAATAGTTTTCAAATTCATTAACTGGTGCTGTTATTCATGAACCCATATAAGAATTAAATTTTAAGTTCATAAGCTCTAATGGTTATGTAGACTGTTCTTTATACCACAGCGAAGAGATAATTTTATTAGTAACTCTGTCAATACTATGGCTTATGTCAGAATTGGAGACTTTGAAGGCATTACACACTGATATAACTTCAAGCAATAGAGAACTGACTGCTTTGAGATTAGTATGTTGCATTGTCTGGAGTCCTTTATTGTTAATGTAAATGTAGTGCGTAGTTGGTTACAATAAGAGTGCCCACCTACAGCACTTTACATTTATTTGCATTTTAAAATTTAAATGAAGTGTGTGTGTGTGCACATATGACAAGGTATGCATGGTCACCTACAAATACGTCTGTTTTTCTATCGCTCTGATTTGTACAGAGTCGGATTCACTATTTCATTATAGGACTTTTTACAAGTCTAAATCCTACCACTTGTGTATCTTCTTTACTGTCACCCAAGGCATTGATCATAATAGCAAACAAGGGTGCCTGGTATTAAACTATGTGGCAACTATCTAGTAATCTTCCTCACGTTGAAGAATTTATAGCAATTCTTTACCTTCTGCCTTCCCTTTTGTAAAGTGTTCACTCTCTTGCCTTGACAAGACCTCCGGTCAACCAGAGCTTTGAAGTGAATAAGCCTATAATATTTTTGTAGTGAATTAGAGACCAAAAGGCATTTAAAGTATGAAATGCAAATTGTATTAGAATAAAAAAACCAATATAAATCTTTTTGAGTTAAAAAATAACTCAAAGCAAATAAGGACAACAAAAAAAGAAATAAAATTCTTTACACACTTCTCCTCACCTGTTTTGTTCTTCCCAGCAATTCCCTGCTTACAGGCTTAATACCAGTTAACTGAATGACATTTTAAGTTGCTTTGTTCCTTAAACTTTTGATCATATCTTTAGCATCACTTGTCTGCTCCACTTGTCTCAGTGCCAGTTCTCAGTCTCTTTATAACCTGCAGGTTTCCAGCTGCATTCTGTGTCTTCCTGGCCAGTCACACCTTATAGTCTGAAGTGTGCTCACTAAGCAAGCTTAGAAATTCCTCCAAAGATAGATTTCTCCCTTATTTCAGTTTCTGCTACCTCTTCCACTTTTCTGGAAATCAATCCCAAAACCCCACAAAAAACATTCCCAAAACCAAGCCACCTGCTCCAAAAGAACAGAAACATGGAATAAACATTAAAAAAGATGCCAGCCATCACAGTAATTTTATCATAGGACTGCACTCACCATCTTTTCTGAACAGGAAGGGTAATAGCAAAAAAAAAGTATTTTGTGGACATACCCATTGTGTTAAAAAAAGATCAACAGATGGGCAGAACATGGACCTTAACTAAAATATTTGGTGACTTTTTTTTTTTTTTTTTTTTTTGCCAAGGATTTTGACTGGAGTAGAGTAAGGCAAGCTTTTCAGATTTACTTCTTTTTTGCTTATTTCAAGAAAAGGCTTAATATAATACTGTAAATGTATAAACTCCTGTTGGACTCTGTGAAACCTGCAGCTGTGGAGTTACTCTTTCTATGCAACACTGTCAAATAGATGCAGTTCCAGTGCTGAGGGAAGCCATTTGAAGGAGACCAAAAGCTACACTTAGCACTTACTATCTGTCTGGCTACTTGGTCCTAGAGTATATCGGATGCTCTGTTTAAATTAAATAATTATCACTTCAGGCAGAACGTCAAGACATTATTGATGGAAAAATAGTATTGAGATTACTTACAAATGCATTTTAAACTGTGTCTGCTTATATTTTTACTCTAGCATTTTCTGTCTGTCACTATTTTTTTCCCCAAGAATTGCTCCTGGTACCTGTTAAACTTAAATTAATTAATGTTGTTCGGAATATATTTCCTCTTAGATTGACCCTGTAATCATGGATAAGAGGATCAAAACAGATACACATGTGACATAATATTATTTCTACATTTCCTTATTTTCAATTTATAATTTTTCAAGCTGAAACAGTTCCACGAAAGTTCAAGATGGAGCTTCAAAGAAGTGACTTACTATTATAATTTACATTAATTATGTCCTTTTTGGACACATATTACATTTTGGACTTAGGTGATAATTACTCTTAGAAAACAGTGTGTGTGCAGACAGTATCAAAATGCAGGTTTCCAGTATTGACAAAGTCAGCACAGAATGTGCATTGTGCTGCATTAACTATACTTTCTCTCCCTCAGGGAATGTAGCTTTCCACTTATTTGAACTGATGAGTAGGGTGCTTGTTAGAATTTCTGTTTCTAACAAAACTACACAGCAATATTACTTACTGCATCTTTTCTGGCTGTATCATTCGTGTTGGTATAACTTGTGACCATTATTGGTACTTAATATACTAACATGACTTTACAAAGGGAGAAACAGAAAGCAATTTTTTGAAACTTTTTACCAGCCAGAACAGTATAGGAGTGAAGGAGAACATCTAGAGTATATGAAAATTAGAGCCCATTACAGAACAAACTACAAAAATCTTAGATATGGTCTTGATTATTCATTAGTGTTTTAGACTGTATCAGGTTACACAAAAATCTCTGAACATTATATAGTCAGAAAAGAAATCTATGAAACCTATTAAGTTTTTGTTTGGGTTTTTTTAATTTTTTAAAAAAAATTTTAACGGGTTGTTTACAAACACACTTATGAGTCTTTCTCAAAAAACAATCATCTCTTGCTGGGGAAGTAAATCATCTAGTACTTTAAAGAAGGAGCAACAGTGTAAATCAATAAAGCAATCATCTTTGTAAAAATAGAACATAAATGTTTCTATGTGCTTTTAGACATAGAATTATTGAATATAAAGTCCTCCTCATCAGAATTCTGGCCATACTATTCATAATTTTAACTCCAGCAGCCAGTAACTGGTCAATTCCTGATTGTTCAGTCTGCAGAACACTTTTGCAAATAAAATGGGAGAATGCTGTCTAAAAAGCCAAGCTTTGCCTTGAATTACAACCATTACTTAGAACTTACAACAATTTAGAATAAAATGAAATCAAATAGTTTAAAAGCTGTTCCTTTTTTTGCTGTCTTGAGGAAGAAAAAAACACAATTTGATTGTTCATCAATCTGTAATACTTTAATTGGTGGAGAAAACTTAACTGTAAATGGTCAATGGCTTCATCCCAAACCAACTAGAATCAATTTAATCTTTTTCTTGACTTCAGTGGACATTGGGTCTAGCCCTAGATTAATCTCTTTCTCTTTTCTCAACAAGCTGGATACATCCTGGATTTCAGCTCTCCAAAAACTGACAGAAGATTAAATATTTGAACATGTCTAACTTTATGCTGTCCACTTAAATGAGTTAATGCTAACTGAGAGCTTCAGTATGCAATGAAAAGTCCTATCTGGCTTGTTAAGGATAGACTATCTTATTTCTGTGTTCTGAATGATCCATATTGTGTGGAATATGGAAAGAGAATTAAGAAAAAACTTAGAATGTTGATTCAAAAGAGCAACACTACTACAGAGGAATATTTAGAAAACATTTCGTAAATCAAGGAATTGAGCACCTTATTAGTCATACTTGTCACAAAGTCATTATATGCTGAATTTCTTTGATTTCAGTTTGCTCATGAGTGAAAAAGGTCAATTCTGTGTCCATATTGAAATGATAATACAAGCTTTGCATTGTGATGACGTTCACACTGTATTATTTTTTGAATATATGGCTATACTATTTCAGCATTTTTTTCCATTAAAACTGAAAAGCAGAAATAAGGGGAAACAGTGATCATTTGTCTTGTTTTGTTTTGTTTTTTTCAGAGATACCAAGAACATCCTAACTTTTACAAATTTGTGAAATTCTTCAATACACTAGCAATATTCTATGTTTTAATTCAGTTGAACCTGACTAATATATTTTGAAACAGAAGCATTTAGAGGATTCGGCTTCACTTCAGTGTA